CTTACAGTATTTAATACACTTATTGTATCCTAATTATCACAAATGAAGAAAATGTATGAAGTGTGCCATTCTATTAGATTTAAAGCTGTAAAGCATAACGTTGATACTAGAAATTTAGTATTTTCAAAGTGAAATAATATTGTTTATGAATTTTCTTTTACTTTATAAATATAGCTAACAGTACAAAGATTTTGGTTTTTCCCTTATGAATTTATTGAGTGTTATTTTAAGCGTGTTCCATAACTAGTATTTATGTTTCCCCATAAAGGCCGAGATGAACCATTATAAAGAAATGAGCTTAAACAGAATTGGTGAAACTTCAGTGAAAAATCAGTCTGCCCCTTTAGTGGGAAACTACAATCCTTCTCTAGGCTCGAGACTGCAGAGTAGAGGCAAGTAATGTTTGTTTTCATTGTCCTAATATTTGTGATAAATAAATCTTGCTACAATACAGTCCCCCCTCATTCCTCTAAAATAGTCCACTAAGAATTTCAAGAGGAATATGGGGGGGGGGACACCTAACCTATTTGTTCCATTATTTCATCAGGTTTTTGCACTTAAGATAACATTAAATGTTGGATATAGCATATAAATAGCATTCATGACATTAGGAAAATATGTAGGTTAAAAAAATCAGTTAACACAAAAATACAAAGCCCTATAACCTGAGAGCTTTTGAAATGTGGACCTTTTTTTTTCACCAAGGGTAAACTAGGAACACATATAGATATCATGTGAGATGAACTTTTGAATTTTGTCATGTTTAAAACTCAGCTGACAAGTTTTGGGTTTGAATGAAGGGCATCTTAAGTAACTTGTGAAAGATAAAAAAAAAGTTATGTACATACTTCTAATCAGGGTTCTCTCTAACTTTTGACAGAAGTGGTTTAAATGGGGGAGGTTTATGGGTTAGAATGCATCTTTTGGGATCTTTTTATTCTTGAAATGTTAGAGAAAAATTAATTAATGATCATTGAGTAACTTAAACTTGAAAAAGTTATAATGTTAAAAATTGTGAGCAATTAATACTTGTCTGCACTTCCCAAAAAGCTGCAGCCTATATGACCTTAGAAACTTCAAAAAAACTTTCAATGTTAAACATTCAAAATTTATAGATTTTCTCGCTTAATATTTTTGCTGTCATTAACTCTTTACTGTAGAAAATTTATTTAAGCTTCTTAGTCATGAATTTGAAGCTCTAAAAAAAAAGAAACATCTATGAGTAATGGCAGATGTAAAAGGTTTTTAACATGGCTATTGGGATCTGTCATCTACTGTAGAATTTATAGTGTTTTCAATCTTCTGTATATATTGTTGAGAAAGGTTTTAAAGTTGGTGAGTGATTGTGTGAACACAGAGGTCATATAATTAATATTGATGAGTCAGTCTTCTGACGTGTTTGTGATAAACACAAACTTTCACATCTCAAATTAATTCTCATTCTGCTCCAGTTGAATATTCCTCATGTAAAAACATGCCTTATTTATATCCTAGGAATGCCTTCCATAATTAGGCTTAAGTGAAACATTTACTTTCGTATGATGTTTCCTTCTGACTTTTGTTTTCTACAGTTGTTTACTTTGACCTAAATACCCGTGCCGTATGTTCTCTAGTTTCCTTCTTGGGTTTTTTTAGCCAATGGTTTAGTGCCTTTTTGAAAAGAAATTTTGCTGCGTTACTCTTTTATTATTTCCAAATATCTTACTTTTTCATTCACACACATATATTTGAAATTTATTTGTATCATTTATCTAGGTTTTACTATATTGTTTGTTTTGCTGAAACAACAGTGTGTTTTTTCCAACAACTGACCAAATATGCATAGTCTCGGTCCAGGTGACTGATGCCACATTGGGCAAGGAACTTTCACTGTAATTTGAAATTTACTACATGTATTTACATGATATGTGGCAAACTTTTAGTGAAACTTACAAGTCTGTTGTACCTAAAGTAGATGTGATACAAGAGTGTTAATCTTCAGGACATACCTGTGATTTGACAACTTCAGTCTGGCTTGGACTCTGACAAGATGGAGTTTAGGGTGATGCTTCTTCAAAGAATAAAAATACTTTTGTCCATGGTACAGTTGGTATATATTGCGTTTGCATACCCTATAGAACCTCCTATTGCACATCTGTAGTTTGTTTCACCATGCCTGTGTATTGTATCTGGAATTTTCTATCCTCTGTCATGAACTCTTGCTAAGTCAACAATGTATGGTAAAATGAATAGTTCTTAAATCTAACTTTATTGAATGGCACTCTGTAAAAGGTCATGGCATGTGCATTTTGACCCCACTTATGTACATGGGGCTAACATACATGTGATAGGATTAATAATTTTATTTATTTGTTCTGTTATTGCCATTTGAATTTCTCTTAATTTTTACAATGATTTTAGGCATTAACTGATGAAGTGCCTTGTCTCAAAACATTATCATCATTTAAAAATATGTTTACGATGTTTTACATCTGCTGCTGTTTATTTTTGACAAGTAACAATTATCCAGTGGTAATGTAACTAGCCTTGTCTTGCTTAGAATATATATATGTAATTCTAATACTATAAGATACATTAATTGTAAATAGGTGATCAAATCAGCACTATATAACAGTAATGAAATTAACACAGATCCAAATGTTCTAGTAGCAGCCAGACAAGTTAGACTTCTTTAATTATTGCAAATACCATTTTCATAAATTAAATTAGCAAACTTAGGTTACTAGTAAATAGCTAGATAGGTTAAGAAGCAGTATATCAATGTGACAGAAAATTCCTGAATATGGAAAGGAGAAAAGGGTGATAAATCAACACCTTAACATCATTTTCCACAAGATAAATAAATAAATCTCGTTCTGAAACTATAAGATACATTAATTGTAAATAGATGATCAAACCAGCATTATATAACAATAAAAAATAACAATTTAAAAAGGTTTCGGCTTGTATATGTTTATGGATTTGTTTGTGTGCATGTTGTTACGTTTTGGGTGCCAACATTTAGATTTTGTTAAAAAACATATGAAACTTGATATAATTTCTATCATGAATATTAGGCCTGTTGGTTTCATTGTTTTACTAGCTTTCATTTTAATTATTTATTTTTTTGGTTATTTTCCTAGTTTGAAATATTTTAAGCATAGTACTTTACTGAACAGATTGAAGTATCTGTTTAGTATGATGCCTTTATTGCTCAGAATATAGTAGGACAAAAGAATATTTTTCCTCTTCAAGGTTTATTGGGAGTTAACTCTGCATGTTTTGTTTATAAAGAAAAATGTTATTAGTATGAATATTAGTGTTACTGCTTAACATAGTTTATGGTTAATAAAATTTATATGAACTCTAAAACTTATGAATATTAATTAAGGTCAGTTTAAGTTAGAAATTTTTGTTAAATTATCATAATTGTTTATTTCAGGATGTCTTGATTTTATCTTTAAAACAATTTTTTACTTTTGGATAAGAATTTGATGTGAAATGTATATACTTTGACAAAAATATATATTTTTTTTGAAATCAAAGCTTATGTTTTGACAAAACTATAATAACTTTTCTGGATTTTATAGATTTTAAAACTGCAGTTTTTAAAATTTATCTCTTTCACTTCAATGAATTAATTATGGCTGTTTTTAAATTAAGTAAACTTTATGAAGTTTAAGCTATTCTCTATTAGTTTTAACGGTGATTAATATAGACAAAACTTTTATTGCAGGTCGAGGAGCTACGTCTTCTTCTTTGGTAAGTTTGCTGTTGACGGTTATCTTATGTTAGATGTCAGTTCTGGATGGAAATGTAATAGTTCATAATAAAACTATATTTTAGATTCTCATTCTGGGAAGCACGAATGTATTTTATTTTACTGAGAAGAACTGGGAAAATCGGTTATTCAATGATTATTGTAGGACATGGATGGCAAAAAACTAAATGATCATTTGTAATTAAAAATATTATTTAAAATATTTTTTATTTATTTTTCAAAATTTAGAATTTCTTAGAGGTGGGGGTGGTGGTGTTACACTTCAGTAAAATCATTCATTATTTCATTTTGTATATGCTAAGATATGTTTACAAATACCAGGGTCTGGTTTATTTTGTAATAATTGTTACCATCAATTAGATCCTTTTTCATCCAGCTGATGGAGAATGTTTACACTTAATAAAAACAATGTAAGTTTAACAGCAGTCATATATATATATATTTCAAAGTAATAACTTGAACATAAACTTTATCTCAATTTTAAAATTATATCAAAGCTTCTTCATAAACAACATTTGCAGTTTGCTTTCCATCTACCAACAAATAAAGATTTTGAGGTGATCCCACCCCTGAACACCTTGACCATGATAAAAGCATGATTGTTTGAGAAACATTCCAGTAACTTTCATACTTCGACCTTGAATCCATTTAGAATATTCAACATTGTATAAAGCATCAACCTGCCAGAATTGTTTGAGATTGACTCAATAGGCTGGGAGTAATTAACCAACAGGCTTTACAAAATAGAAATGGTTAACTTCAATTTTGGCCCCCCATAGTTCATAGTGTTTACATGCAAATTTTAGTTGAGATTGGCTCAATAGACTCGGAGGAGTTAAGGTACACACACACACATTTTGTCTATATATATGATAGTTGTTTATTCCTGGTTACAATGTGTGCATCTTCTTTTACACATCGTGGTCTTGTCCATACAATTCTGTTGATCTTTCTACTTTATCATCAACCAAGAAATTCTCTCTCTCTTCCAATTGATTTCGTAATGTCTTTATAAAAGTCAGAGTTTGTTGAATTATCGATTCTAGTCCACATTACTTGAATTTCTTGTTCAAGCGTTTTCTGAAGCATCACTTGTAATGCTCTCACGATTTCCTCCAATGGGGCTTCTTCCTTCGTAAGGTGAATCACTTAACCTCTTCTCATTTGTTTTAGCCAGTTACTAAAAAATTGTATACAGGTTAATCTTGGTGCATTTAGCACATAAAATTATTTTGTCCACATCATTCTCTTTGTTTACCTTTAATTGTCATAAAGTAAGAAGGCAGCCATAAGAGATTATGTAAATAATATCGAGGTTCTCACCTAAATGGTGCATAATGGCTCTGGTTAAGGCTTCATCTTGTCTTCCTAAAACTTGGTCATAGACTTAAAGCCTTTAACAAATTAATATTCAGAAATATTTGAGTTCCATTAAATAAATTATTTTGATCTTAAAATGTTAGTGCATTAACAAGTCTCCATGACAGTATTCATGAAAGGAACATGTATTAATGTGGGTATATTATGTCACTGGCATATTTGTTTAGGAAAGATTTGAAAAATGTTAAACAAACAAACAGTTTCATCATTTTGGTAAAAGACTAGCAGTTCAGAGGTAGAACATATCTACAGTTTTGTTGAGTTAATTTTATTTAATATCTGTACTTGTATTATTAGTCAATTGATTATAAAAAAAATAACGAAGATGATTACATAAAATAATTTATATGTAATGTTATTTTAATTCTTAACGTTTTAAAACAAAATATACATCACCAAGCATTGTTTATAGCACATGATGTGAAGCACATCTTGGGCAGGGGTTGTTGACAGGTGATATCTCCAAGAGACTGATAAAATATCACCAGTGACATGTAAGGAAAACTCTTACAAAGCAAAATATGGATGGCAATGCATAACATCAGTAATTTGGAGACAATTAAAAAAACTGAATAAAAAAAACTAAATACAGAATGTTTCATTAATAATATGGAAAATGTAAGGGTTTCTGAAAATAGGGCACTATTTGCTATTCATTAATTTTTGTTGAACTTGTGCCAGTGAATAACTGAATACATTATGTTCGTCTAATATTCTGAAAATAGGGCACTATTTGCTATTCATTAATTTTTGTTGAACTTGTGCCAGTGAATAACTGAATACATTATGTTCGTCTAATATTCTGAAAAT